TTTTATGTGTGTTACACAAACTGAGAGAAATATATAAGTGAAATGCATGCTCACATTGTTGTCATAATTTATTTTACGCATAGAAGGTCAAAATTGTCTCATTCTCGTTTTTGATCTGCATGGACGGCTCACTTTGGTTGTTGGGTTTGCTTGCCTGTTAACTCTTTATGAAATAGAACCTGAGCAGTCCTGACGTTCCAATATTTAACTCGCTTTATCTGTAAGTTATGCAATATTAGTGCCTCGAGTATATTAATGTAGAGAGAAGTCACCGACAAAGCTTCACTTGAACAGATTGAAGTAGCACATCACTTACTCTGAGGTTGTTTTGAAGTCTTCCATATTAGACAATTTTTTCAAGATATACTGGCATAATCATCTCTTGAATACTGGTGTGGCATTGTCATTTCATGGTGTATGAATAGACGATTTTAGTAATTCTAGTCTTCCCCTCGTTTGAATGGGAGCAGGTTCCTCATGAAGGTCCGATGTGTGATCTCTTGTGGTCTGACCCAGATGACCGATGTGGGTGGGGAATATCTCCGCGGGGCGCAGGGTATACATTTGGACAAGATATAGCAGCCCAATTTAATCATACTAATGGGCTGAGTCTTATTTCTAGAGCTCACCAGCTTGTGATGGAAGGCTACAATTGGTGCCAGGTTAGTACATAAGAAGCATAAATACTGTTCACATTGATGCTTTCAGAGTTCTGTTTCTAATTTTGTTTAATTATTTTAGGAAAAGAATGTTGTCACGGTGTTTAGTGCTCCAAATTACTGCTATCGGTGTGGAAATATGGCTGCAATTCTTGAGATTGGAGAGAATATGGAGCAGAATTTCCTTCAATTTGACCCAGCACCTCGGCAGGTTGAGCCTGATGCAACACGCAGAACTCCAGACTATTTTTTGTAATCCACATAACTTACCACCCATTAGCAATTCTTCTCGTTTCGTATTTCTTTTTGTAGATTTGTCTTACAAAGAAGATGAGTTTTGATGTTTAGTTGAGAAAGAGACAGAAAGAAAACATATTCATTCTTTTGGTTAAAGTTGTTCTGTTGCGTAATTCATGTGATTTATAGGATTATGTCAGTAAGACTTGTGTCTTGTATTAAAAGAGTTGAAAAGAATGACTGGAAACAGCAATAACTAGTTATGTGCTTTATGAGCTGCATTCAGTTTCAGGTGAACAAAAAAGAATTATTTCCAGATTCCAATTATGTGTTTCTTTCGTTTTTGTTTTTTCCTTTCTCATAGTTGCGAAAGGTTGGCTGGCTCTTGTTTTTGTTTTTTCCTTTCTCATATTTGCAAAAAGTTGGCTGGCTCTTGTTAATCTACGCATTCCAGACTAGTTGTCTTGATCATCAATGGCAATTTCCGCCTTCTCTCTTCCTTTCCGCTCTCTCTTGATGTAATTTTAGAACAAAAGTTTTGGGAAAGAAAAATTCTTTTTAAAAAGACAATATAAGTACAGAAAAAGCATATGCTTTTTGGTTTTGGATCCATGCATGAAGCAACAACTCTAGTGAAAAGAGAAAAACTCTAGTGGACAAGAAACATGTATACTCGAAGCAATTCATCTGTGGAGGTTCGCAAGGCCGTTCTGGTCCTCCCAGGCGGGGTTTGTTCGCAGGCTATGAACATTTTTGCCTCACCTTTTCTACCTTCTCTGGCATTGCCAACAATATCCTAGCATCCTTGTAAAGTAAATGTTCATAAAATTATAAATTAATTGAAGCTTCAACTGCAAGCTATCTATCTAATCAAAGAGAAGATATCATGTAAAATTGGGAAGAGGATTATAAGCAATTACCATGAGAACTATCAGGATAATTTTTTTTTTTTTTTTTTAAGGTAATCCGCTGTTTTTCTCCGGGGGCATCATGACAAGGTGCCGAAGCTTCTGCAAGTTTTGAGTTATCTCTGTCAAAAGTTGTGTTCCTTCGCTATGTTTCTCAAGCGTCTTAGCAGCATATTCTAAGAATCCAGTGTCTGTTTCAAGGGCCTTCACCCTTTCACTAAGATGAGACAATAATGACAATTGCCTTGTTAGAGCAGCTTTGTTTCCATTTCCTGCCATATTGGAAACAGAAATTGGTCTTTTGTTAGAAATGCAATAGAACATGCTCAAATTCTACTTCAGTGTGTGTGCGTGTGTGCGTGTACACGCATACGCTCATGTGCGTGTGTATAAATGTATGTGTGTGTGTGTGTGTCTGCATATGTTTACCTATCTCATCATCAGGATGATTCAGACCATCAGAGCCCTGCAAGGAATGGAAACCGTTAGCTGATAAGTTACTTCTCTTATCGAGTTTCTTCATCCGACCCAGGAGGTAGGTTTTCTCCTCTTTCAAAGGTTTCAAAGATTCAGCAAGCGCTCCCTCTACGTTCTCCTCCTTTGATGACATGACTTGATCATTGGGTGTGCTCTCCCCATTATGCTCACCATTGTTCAAGCCTTTGACCTCTTCACCAGCCTCATAGCCAAATTCCTTGAGCAATCCATATTTTTCTCTGTAAGCCTCTACTTCAGTTTCTATAATCCTGAGCTCTTCCTCTCTCTTTGCAAGCAGATCATATGTTGCTTCCAGGGCTTCCTGGTCATACTCTGCCTGTTCCTCCATCATTCTCTGATATTGTAAGGCCTCCATCTGAACAGCAGCCTTCTCTGCTTGTAACCGGGTGATCATGGCCATTGCATTGTTTGCTGCAACAGCTGAAGCACTTCTTTCTTCATCCAGCTCCATGTACAAAGCCATCAGCGACTTCCTATCCAACCGGACCTGTCTCTTCAACCGGTGCAAAATGGAATCACAATCGGCATCATTTGGAGTGCTCCCGTCGGCAGATTCTAACACAAAGTCGCTACCTTTTTCCAGTGGTGATTTCCTTGAAATCCTCATAGCCACCCTTGGACTATTTGTAGCTGAATCGGTAAGTGGGATCCCAAAAAACCTGTTTCCTTTGCCAAAGACAGGTGTTCTGTTTGCATCATCAGTTAAATCATCACCTTCTGTCAATGATGGCACTGCAGAAGCTTTGGGATCTTCCTTGACTGCTACACAAATTCCATCCTCCAAATCAGTTAATGGTTTCCAAAAAAGAAAAAATCATATTGGATTTGGACAGATAAAGCGTAAAGCTACCAGCTTAAAGATACATGTAAAGAACTTAACCAAAAGGAAGCTAGAACAAGGTTTTGCGCTTAACTCACATTGAGAGTCACGATTTGGTGGGTGTGATCCATACTCGTCCTCTGGAAGCTCGGACTCGTGATCAGACATAAGTTTGAGTTCTGTGTATCGAATGTGGGGCAACTCCAAACCACGATTCTCATCGTTTCTCAACGGTGCTCGTGGAGAAGGAGCCGGAGCATGTGCTAATGCGCTGCCATTTTTGCCCTTAGGATAGGCGGAGGAAGTAGAGCTCATCTTCAATGGCACGCCACAACACGAACACGAAACCTGAACAATGCTGCCACTATTCTCAACCTGCCCTGCTGCCTCCTCCCATGTCCTTGCTGCAGGCACACTCAGCTGAATTTGGTGGTAATCATCCTCAACAAAGCACTCAAGATCCTTATGCAAAATACCAACCAAGGACTTGTATGTATCGCAATCAGATTCTTTCTCAGTAGCAAATGAAAGCAGGCATGCCTCACACATCTTTCTTATATCAGACAGCTTCTTGTGGTTGTGGCAATAAGCAAGATATGAAACATCTTTCCTGTGAGCTTCACAAATGGAATCATTGTAATAAAAATCTTGGTCCCTATGAACGAGGATGTGATCGATTCTGGTGCAGAGCCAACATGGGATTCTCAGCTCGAAGAACTTGGCAAATTCATTGGCAGCGAAGGCAAGGAACCCATCAATGAAAAGCAGAATGATTAACATCCATTCGAGCAAAGCATAGATCACGAAATGCGGCAACTTTCCCAGCTCTTGTTCAACATAACGAGTAAAGGATCGCTTGGCCATTTTAGTTGCGTTGATTGAACACAGAAACAACCATAAAACCAAGAAATATTTGGCCTTTATTTATCCTTATCTGGGTTGCTGCAGCTTTGTTAGGTCTAGATTGTGGAAATGAGAGATGCTATGAAAATGGAGTCAAAGTGCTCAAAGGCTGATGAGATGGAAGATCATGACCTTGGTGGAGCAGACCGTTCCTAGATCATGACCTTTCTCTCTGTGTCTGTGTGTGTCTGTGTAAATGCCTAAACAAGGAGAGGGGCAAACTTTTCCAAATCAAGATTTTAAATTTTGGGTGGTGGAATTTGATTGCCTATACATAGAAAAAGGGCTTTGGACAAAAATGGCGGTTCTGAGGCTGAGCCTGTACCTGAAATAACGGTCTATCATCCACTTTCCAACCAACTGGATTAGTATAAACGCCAGCATTTTCATGACAATAGAGTTAAGCCACTGATTTGTCCGGCTTTGCCTTTGTGTTCCAGAAGAATTTTTGTCTATCCCAAGCCTTGGGCCATATTTCGAATTTCCAAATGTTCAGGGTCTTAACTATGCTTAATGAAGATTATGAAGGGTTATATTTGGTGCTCTAAAGCACTGCTCCTTTTACCATACGTAGCTCCAAGACATTGGACAAACAAAACATTCTGAAGGTCGTTTGTTTATAAGTGTCATCTAGGAAACTTAGCTTCTGGACAACTCAACCATCCCAATGAGTTATTTGATCTCTGCCGGGAAAGCTTGAACATGTAAAGAGTTAGATAATGACACTTTAACTGACCCACTCAGCATTTACACCGCCAATCTGTATCACCCAATAATTTGCTAACCAAGTGGTACAGAAAAGTCCGACCACCGGAGCATCTGCCAATTTCAGAGTAAGTCCATGATTCAACAATGCAATGCAAACCATTCCATGAACAATAAAAACTGAAAATGCAGTTCTGCGACTCCAAGCAACAAAAATTGCTTCACCACAAAAACGAGAAACAGTTTCACCAAGTTATTGACTAAGGCAGGTCAAGTAATATGTGTTCTTTTAGATATGTGTAAGAGCTTCAACAAAAAAATAATTTTGTTACAACAATTGGCTTAATTGTGCAATCACCACTGCCCAATAGTATAAACATAAACCCTTGATATTTTCTTTACGATCAAATCCAAGTGTAATAAAGATATAATCTATTGGAACTACATAAAACAGGGAGCTGCCACATTGCTTGCCCATCTCTTGAACAGCAGGAAACTACTTAGCTTAATGACTGCAAATGAGGTCATTTGAAACCCAAGCAACTATGGATGAGCTTAGCTTGCAGACAAAACATTCGCAGACATATAAGGTGATATGCACCCCTGGACCTGAAAATTCGGTCCATTCAATAAGAAGAACAGATCAATATTAATGAATCTTGCTTTACAGAGATTTATTTAACAGAAAGTACACTCAATAGTATTGGATGAGATAGAAATATATAAGTTAGGTGAGCAACATGCCAGTTATTCTGTTTCATTTACTGTAGCTTATACACATCCCATATAACAGTGAGAAACTGATTGATTGACTATCCATGAAACAAGAACATTTCATCACGTTGTTCCTATAAGATCAGATTGTATTGGGAAAAAGGGCAAGAAATCCAAAATTGTCTTCCACACAAATGCATGTGAGAGACTATGAAAAGGCAGAGAATTGTTCCGAAACATCTATTACATAGGAGGGGTTCAGTTACCTGCAACAAACCAGTAGGAATTTGGATAAAACCTTGCAGAAGAAGATTGACCTTTTCCAGAGTGCCTCTTGGAACAGGTGTTATCACATATACCAAGCCTTTGAATGTGTCAATGCCTCTCACAATTCCTAGATAAAAAAGGCATCAACCAAAATGCATAAGAACCTTAGTTCAAACTGATTGGTTCTACCCATCTATATGTTTCCATATTGCACCAACAATAAAAATCTGGATTTCTCTGATAACATAAACACAAAAAACTAAAGAATGTACTTTACTGTCACCACTAAACCAAATTCTAGAAAAAAATATTCTTAATTTTCCTGAAAAATCCCAAGTAGAAGAACACTAGTTCCCCCACATATTGGAGTCAGAAAATATAAAATTATGAGCAGAGCCATACAGAGAAGATGAAATATAACCAAAAAAAAAATGTGGCAAAGCAGAGTAACCTACCAAGACCAACACACCAAGGTAAATCTATCGATCCTTTAAAGTTCGTTCAAACTATAGAAGATCTCAGAACCTGGGACCTAACATAAAAGAGCTAAACTATTACAAACCTTAATTGGAAAGATAATGACAATTAACAATAAATCAAAAGCAATGAGGTAGAAAAGTAATCACCACTAAGCACTCCCTCAAAATGTTCAAAAGAACCATACAGAAAACAGAAATAGAATTTAAAATTCAATGACACATGTAAAATTTTAAAATTTCCAGAACCTGCAGGGAACTGACCTGGCAATGCAGATGTCTAATCTTAATGCTAGATATTGGAACTTCATAAGGAGGGTGAGAGGCCAAAGCATGAGCCAGTTCTTTAATAGTAGTAATGTTCAAGTTACTTGAAAAGCACTGTCTGAAATAAGCCATTATTCGTACATCACGCAACAGGCGTGCATCCTTTTGTACTAGAACCCTGCAACACAATGGAGATTATATGTTACAGAGAAAGCCAGTATATCCATCTCTTCTAGCAAGCATATGCTACTTACTGAAAGAAAAAAATTATGCAAATGACTGACACTGGATAACTTGAATCAATCAATGATTTTGTTCGAAAGAAGAACTTTCCCAGGTTTAACTAAAAGCAATCACCTCCTACAAATTCTTTATGAAACACAGAAAAGAAATTTGGTATTTGGTCTAAAACTAATATGAATATTGCAGTATTTGATCAAGCAAGAAAAGAATGCAACAATGCACCGATGATTCTCAACAGGGGGAAACCAATTATAAAAAATGTACAGATAAGCTGCACCAAATTAAAGTTTCCAGGTAATGCTGAGGACATCAAGAACTTACGATCTATTGAAAGAGTCCTGACGAGCTGAATTGATCTCTATTAGATTTAGCATCCCATCATGATCCTCATCTAACCAGAATGCCCCACATGGTAGATTCTTACTCTCAGCAGATATGTTTATTTTAACAACATGGGTAGGGGCCATACACTTCAACATATCCACCAATATATCATAACCAACACCTAGCACACAAGAGCAATGACGAAATCATATGTTATTCATAACCAGACAACAATACTCATTAAAAGAAGATTCATAAGATAGCCCCTAGGGCCTTGCCTCAGACAGTACATGGCTAGGGTGGACTTGGGTAAGTCTAGTTCGTTTCTACAGGAGAAGGCCAAATAGGAAGGAAAAAAGTAACAAAAAACAAAATATATGATTGGAGAAATTGTTTGATTGCAATTAAAAGAGAGAACCAGTTGACCAAGTAAAAGAGCATACCTTTCACCCAGCCAGGAGTATTCACAACAAGAGGCAATCCAACTTTAGCAGGGCTAGCACTCTTGTCAAACAAGCAGTATTCCTTCTGATAGTAATCATATAAAGCAAATATATAATTCAAGTATGTTGTAGGATTCCTCTTTGAAGAAACATCACCGAAGAAAAGACATCTGTGAAAAAGAGACAAATTATAAATTTACACTACTCAATTATTCTCAAGCTTCTACACTACTATTCTGAATCCTATAAGGCTTGAACCATCAACTACACCATTCGTGAGCTAAATTGAAATCTTTATGGGACACCCTTATTTTTCATTGTTTATTAGTCTAAGCCTTGCTCCTAAAGACAGTCATATTTAGCCCATTAGTATTCATATCCATGCAGTCTCAAATAACAAGTATTCTGCAATACATAATAGCAATATTACCACTTCCTCTAACAAGTTAAAAACCTAAACTAGGCAGATAAAAGTTCATACCTCTCCGGTGTCTTCAGATGTGGGATTGTCAAATCTATTTTTAACCAAAAAAGGAAAAAGAAAAACTCAATTAGCAACAGAAGCAAAAAAGAACACCTCCTCTAACATGTTTAACAGTTTACAGTGTAAAACAAATTATTCACAAGAAGTGCAAAAAATAAACAATTGCCTGGAGTCACTTCATCTACTACAGTGAGAGATAGAAAACCAGGAGGACTAAACTCAGGTTGACCAACATCTGTATCCAAGTAACCAACTTTTTTATACCTGAAAATAGAAATAGAACCACAAAAAATTAATAGAACATCACTGTAAAAAAAACAATGCAATAATAGAACTCACACAGCCAAAACGTAACAAAACTTCAAATTCAAAACAAACCCATAAAAAAAATGAAAACTTTTTCCAAATTCCACTTCCAAAGTAGAGAAAATTCATAAAATAAGGTGACCCAGTTCAGCTAACATAAAAATAAACACAAAGAAATCAACGGTTACTTCAAAAACTAATCAGATACGTGAACTTAATAAACGGTTGCAAAGTGGGAAAAGGAACTGAGCAGCTGACCTCTGGAGCAGAATGTTCAAGAGGTAGCGGGAAAAGGTGGATTTTCCGCAGTTTTTGGCGCCACATACTATGGCAATGGGAGGCGGCGAAGTGACTGAGTCGTATGCTATACAGTCTGCGGCCTCGGACCACTCTGGCGGTATGTAAATGTTCGGCGACCGGTTTTCGGGTTCTGAACGTGAAGCCATGCCTCTCTCTCTCCCTCTCTTCTAGCTTCTTTCTCTCTCTACTGTGCTTGTCGACTGAAACTTTATATGCGCTTGGAGGCAAAATTGCAATGGCACATGTTGATTTCATGAATTTGCCAACAAAAAAAGCATCACTTGGTTTGACTGCTTGACCCACCGGGAAAGGAGACGGTTCGGGTTAATATTCGGATTCGGGTTGGTTGACTGGGCGGGACGAAGCCCAAACAGAAATGGAAAAATTACAGCAAAACAACCCAGGCCTGAGCTACACCTTGGGCCTCCTAAGCCAACACCTTACAATTTCTGCTTAAAAAAATTCAATATATAATTTCTTTTCTTTTTTGCCCAAATTACATTTTTAGTTCTTTTTGACTTATTTACCACTCTGATTCCCGTCATTTTATTTTGAAAATTTTAGGGGTGAGGATGAGATTGAGAGAGAGGATTAGAGGAAATGATGGAAGAGATGAGTAATAAAAGTGAAAATAATTTTAAATAGATTTCAGTTTTTAGTTTTTGTTTTAACTTTTGTTACTCCTCTCACTTCTCATCTTTCCTCTCGTTCTCACTTTAATTCTTCATCTTTTTTCTCTATATTTTAACACAAAAAAAATAAAAAATAAAAAATAAAAACTAAAAACTAAAAACTAAAATTGAAATAGTTATCAAACGGGCCCTTGAATATTCTAGTTTTGCTTATTACCTAATATGTCCCTATCAAAATTGGAAAGAAAAAAAAAGTAATATATATATATATAATATTTATATTTTCGCTTTGAGGCTCCCACAAAATTACTTTACTGGTGCGGTTAAAGTGTTCAAATCCACGAGGGGAATTTTCACATGGACAATCTGTCCAGTGGGCCCCAATCAGATCGCCCAGCCACATCTAAATCAAGCGCCACGTGTCCCATCGACCAGACATCTCTTTCAATTTAAACAGCCTCTTTCACTCCACAGCGAAACCCTCCCCCGATTACTCGGATTGACCAAGAGTCAACCACACTCCCAGATCGGACGGCCAGCGAAATCCTCATCGCTGATCAAATTCAACCCCAACCCTTATTTCTCATTGGGGCGCCAAAAGCCCGTTTTATCAACCAAAAAAAAAAAAAATCACTTGAGACCAAAAAAAAAACAGATAAAGAAAGAAACAAATCGAACAAGTGCGAGAGAGCTTCGAGCCACTGCAAAACCATGGAGCTCCAGAACACAGTGAAGGAAGCCCTCAACGCACTCTACCATCACCCCGACGACGGCGTTCGTTTGCAGGCCGATCGCTGGCTTCAAGACTTCCAGCGGACGCTCGACGCCTGGCAGGTACTGTGCGCTTCACTCTGTGTTTTGGTAGATTTGAATGTGCTTTTCTCTTTTCCTGAGTTTTTGATCGATTGCTGAAGCTTTGGAGAGTTTGGTTCTCGATTTGGGTTTGGGTTTTTGTTTAGTTTACGTTGTGATTTCAGTGATTACTTTGGTATGTTTGACCATCGTGATGCAATTGGATTCGTGAGTAGTTTGGAATCCCTAGTTCATTTTATTTGAATGAGATGAATTCAATTTTAGGGTTTATTTTCAATAATCTGATTTGAGCGGTATGCTAAGGTCAGGATAGTATTACTTACTTTCTTATGTATTTCATTTCTAATGTGCGAAAGGGGAGCCATTTGTTGCTTTGATACATTTCTCAGAAAATTTTGAAAATTAGAAGTTTTACCTTGAGGAATTGATAGATTTCTGGTTGTCATGTCTTCTTTATCTAGAATAGGATAGACTATATTTGTACTGTGCATGCATATACATATTCTATTATGTTATACTTGAACTAATTTGTCATGCAACTCCTAATATGTTCAATAAAACAGAGGTATGAAGTCAAGGTTGATCGGTTCCCCATTATTGTCTCCTATCTCTCTATCTCTATCTCTATGTATCTATATATATATATATATATATATATATATATAAATATATAAACTATAGTTTAAATCTAAACTTATTTTGTAAAAATTTATAAAAGATCATGATTTTAAGATAAAATTAAATACAACAAGATTTATCCATCTCCAGAATGTGTTGCAAGTGTCCGAAGACATGTAAAACAGTTAATTAAGACATCCCACGCATAAACTATGCCTGTACTTAGTAGTCACATAAGTAAAACATACAGACACATGCATACAAGGTATGAATGATTCGATTGTATGCATGTGTCTGTATGTGCCTGTGATTCTTTTTCAAGTTTTTCGTTTTTATGGGTGTTCTGAGTTTTTCCCTATTTAGTAAAATCTGTTGTTATACCTTTTTGGGTTTTCAGAACATTAATGTGCTTATTTTCTATTAGGTTGCTGATAACTTGCTTCATGATGCAACTAGCAATCTAGAAACTTTAATCTTTTGTTCTCAGACCCTTAGAAGCAAGGTAATTCTCTTCTCCTTATTGTTAGTTATCAATGTTCATGCACTTACTTTATTGTGTTATATTCCCATAGTTGCTTAAGATCTAATGTCCAAACTATGTAAGCCTTGGTTAGGTTGTGGTGGTTTCTTGTGTTAGATTCTTAGTTCATTTTGCATCTCGTCTAGGTACAACGAGATTTTGAAGAACTACCTTCTGAAGCTTTTCGTCCATTACGTGATTCTTTAAATGTGAGTGAGTATCCACTATCCGTTGTCAATTTGAGTGAGAATTGAGTATCCATCCTCAGTTTTCACCTTAGTATCTTCTTAGAGTGTAATGGACCTTTTTCTTTATATGAAGAATGGTTGATTGTTTTGTTACAAATTTTGAAAGTTTTTTGTTCATGCATATTTTGGGCACAGAACTTGTTGAGAAAATTCCACAAAGGCCCCCCAAAAGTCAGAACTCAGGTATTATCTAGAAGTTTCTTTGAC